AGTATTGCATTGAGACGAGCTTAAATGGAGCGATATGGTTTCGACATACACCCTATTTTTTATAAGTGTGTGAACTTTTTTGTACGCCGTATGCCTACTTTTTTTTGAAACATTTTTGGTAGAGGGAGATGGAATTTTTAGAGCCGATGATCGTTTTAGAAGGGCAAAATCGAAGTATAGTGTTATCTTGTTAGTCTTCTTGTTTTTGCTGGATTTCCCCTGCTTGATGACCATCTTTAAAATTGATTGTTTATTAAGAGATTATTGGCAAAATCACGAGTTAATATCTCATATAGTCACTCAAACATAGAAAGTCACTGAACTTTCTTTTCTAATTTCAAAGTCACTCAATTATGGATTTTCTCACAGAACGTCACTCAAGTGATACTTCTTTTCACGGAAAGTCACTCAATTTCTTTCGTTTAATGGAAAAATTGAAGTAAATAGAGTATCCCTTCATCCATGTCTTGTAGTGTAGTGGCATCGGGTTGGAGGCTCCGAGGTAATAGGTGTGAGTTCAATTCTCATGTAGTGCGGTCAAATCTCTCTATCATAACGTTGTTTGTTCTCATGTCTTTTTGGTTGTTGTAGCAAAATGTTGTTATAGAGAACATATAACATAACATAACATTAAAAAACCGGTTCCAGAAAAAATTTGATCGTTTTAGTGAAATATTGTTGTAGAGAGGTCTGATTGTATGTCGATTGATAGATTTATGAAGTATTTACAATCATGTATTTTGCAAGTGCAGCCACAGAGACTCGGTATCTCAACGCTAGCAACCGCGAGATGTGTGTACCAGATGAAGCTAGAGTGTCATCAGATACCCCTACTGATCCACCAACACAGCTTCCACCAGGTGCAGAGAACAAAGTGCAGCGGCAGCTGCTTCAGTTTACATTTCACGAGCTAAAATCTGCAACGGGGAACTTCAGGCCCGATAGCATTCTTGGTGAAGGTGGATTTGGATATGTATTCAAAGGCTGGATAGAGGAGAATGGAACAGCACCAGCAAAGCCCGGTTCTGGGGTTACGGTTGCTGTCAAGAGCTTGAAACCGGATGGTCTTCAAGGTCATAGAGAATGGGTGGTTAGTACGTAGACTATCTGCTCGTGGTTAGTAGTAAAAAATGAGTCGAATAGAGTAAGCAAAAGACTGTTAAGTCCGGTGTATGCAATGGATAATCGTAATGAATTTTAATGCAGGCAGAAGTAGACTTCCTTGGACAGCTTCATCATCCTAATCTTGTCAAGTTAATTGGTTATTGCATCGAAGATGACCAAAGGCTTCTTGTTTATGAGTTTATGACTCGTGGAAGCCTCGAAAACCATCTCTTCAGAAGTGAGTTCTATGATTTCTCGCTGCTTTGTGAAACATTAGGTCTTATTAATGCATACCTGCAGAGTTTTTATTTCCTCTTACAATGTATCCTCGCTAATATATGGAGACCGCGAAGAACTAAATGATCAATTAGCTTAGCATATATTCTATCTGATTTTGTACTTCTGTAGTTAAAAATGCTACTGATGATTGTCTGTTAAAACTGTTCAAGGGACGATACCTCTCCCGTGGTCAAACAGGTTAAAAATTGCTCTCGGTGCAGCCAAAGGCTTAGCGTTTCTCCACGGAGGCTCTGAACCAGTCATTTATAGAGACTTCAAGACATCGAATATCTTACTTGATTCGGTATGTGAGCAGCAAGATCTCAATTTTTGTTGTTTAATACCTTTATCCCCGGGATTCCAACGTATATATGAATTCTGTAGGAGTATAATGCTAAGCTTTCGGATTTTGGCCTTGCTAAAGCTGGTCCTCAGGGTGACAAAACACATGTTTCTACAAGGGTTGTAGGAACTTATGGATATGCTGCTCCAGAATATGTGATGACAGGTAGAAAAACTCTCGTTTATCGTCTTTACTTTTTCTTATGCATAAGGGATCGATATGATATTATACGATTGTCCTGAATGTAAGATACATATCTTAATTCGGAAACATGTTCAAGATATTCTGAGTACATAGGTCTTCACTGTCGAAGTGTGTGACCACTTCACGTGCCAGCCTGATTCTTTTTTCATCGGCCAAACACGTGAAAAATCCTTTTTGATAATGTTGGAGTCAGGACTCGACTTTAGGACATTTGTCTGCTCTGATACCATGTTAAAGTGTGTGACTACCTGAGAGCACACTTTTTATATACCTATTCGTATTCTCACAACATTCACGACTTCTTGATCTAAGAATAGCGACACCTGATGTGTCAATCTGTCTTGTTTTTCATCAGGACATTTGACAGCAAAGAGCGATGTTTTCAGTTTTGGAGTTGTGCTGTTGGAGATTTTAACAGGTAGGAGGTCTATGGACAAAAAGCGCCCGAGTGGAGAACAAAACCTTGTAGCATGGGCAAAACCATATTTAGCTGACAAGAGGAAGTTTTATCAACTCGTGGACCCTCGTCTGGAGCTAAATTACTCCGTTAAAGGAGTGCAAAAGATCTCACAGCTAGCTTACATTTGCCTAAGCAGGGATTCTAAATCTCGTCCTTCCATGGACGAGATTGTTAAGGCTCTTACTCCGCTACAAGACCTCAATGATCTCGCTATATTATCAAATCATTCTCGGTTAACACAATCAGGAAGACGAAAGAAGAAACTAGACGGAATGCAACAACTTAGCTTCAATCATTCCAGGAGTATCAGAGGCTCTCCATTACACTCTGGTAGGCAACATTGTAAATAATGCATTCTCCGTTTTCTCCGAATCTATATAGCAGGAAATGAAACCTCCAAACTAGATTTGAAAATTGAACAAACAAACAAGGCTTTATTATAATGTGTGTTTTGATATTTGATGAGGCTATGAATAGAATTTGAGGAGGTAGTTCATTTTCCTCTTATCGAAAAGTGAAATCCGTAGTTGTGGAAACGACCACTGATGCTTGCGTTTGGATGAACTGCCTCCTACTTTGAAAACACGGAATGCTTGATGCACTGAGCTGTCTTTTTTATTCATTTGGTAGTTTTCAATTGGTTGTCATGAGTCTTCTTTCGCCTTGTTAGAGACCTAAACGCCATTTAAAGTATACGTGTGAGAGTTGGAGAATCTCTAGCTTCCGAGAGCACATACAATGCTTTTTTGGACATGTTATTCAGTTTCGGAGTGAAAATGAGCCTGAATAAAGTAGGATGCATGAATATAGAGGATTCATATAGTCGATCCAGCTTATTAATTTACGGTGTATGCATAATCATTTTATTGATTGATTGACTCGATTCGTTGACCGGTGTGTGTGTAAAGTAATTTCTTTTTTTTTTACAGAATCTGCATCTTAATAAAAGATGATAATGCAGAATTATTGTTTGCAGAATCTGCACTATTTGACCTTTTTATCATACTTTATAGATGACTTCATGGCCTAAAGAATACTCACTTTTGATACAAATATTCCAATATATCAAAATTAACTTTAATATATTCTTTGAAGTATAATACATAAATATGCCGACATCTCTGTTCTTTAATTTTGGATGAGCACAAGTAGACACTTAAACTTGTATAAAGCTGAACAAGTAGACACATGCGTTCTACGGTTGTCATGTCGAATGTGCGTGTCTACATGTTCAATTTCATATAAGTTTAAGTGTCTCACTACATCAAAAATGATTTTTAGTGGTAATTAATTATAAAAAAGCTTAAATACCGCTAAAAACATATTCTTTAGCGGCATTTAGCCGTCTTTGTAAATATCCCTAAAGCCGCCTACAACGAACTGGATCCATTGACAATTAACTAATATCGGTAAAGGCTTTAGCAAATGTTAATATGTACTGCTAAAGTTGTTTTGTATGTAGTGTCTGCTTGTGCACATCTAACATTGAAGGACATAGATACTAGCTGAGGTTAAATTAAATAGCACGTTTATATATTATGCCTTCTTTGAACTCTTTCCAAGCACTCAAGCAACATGTTAGAATAGAAATAATCAAACAATTAGCAAATATCTAGTACGGAAGGAGCTACGGGTTTAATCAAACTCAATATCTTTAGTTCAGAAGAGAGGAAGAATTTTGTAATTTTATATATGTTTGGTCTAATGTTTAGTCATATTATTTTCACTTTTATGGGCTAAATATTGCGTTACGAAATCTTAGACCATAATTTCAATTCAATGTCTAAATATTAAGATTTTTAGTTCGCTCAATATTAATTTGTTTTTTTTAAAGAAAAAAAATCATGAACACCTTGGACATTCCGGAGAAATTATAGAAAGAAGGGAAAAAAGTCTGATATACTTCTTAACTTTATTGTTTAAAAACTGATAAATGTTTCGTTATAAAATGGTTCATATATGCCTCTATGGTTACAAAATTGACTCATATATATTTCTTACCGTAAAAAATAATTTCTATACACCCCTACCGTTACAAAAGTGTTAAAATTAATTTTAAATTAATGTTATTTATTTTAATATTTAAAAAATCATGTTTTTGATCTTTTAACACATTATTTTTTGACTTCTTTGATTATTATTATTTGAGTTTCTTATGCTTATTTCATTTTTTGTGTAAAAAAGAGAGAGAAGTGTAAACGAAAAAACAAAAAAAAACTAAAATTATTTGTTTAGGCTATATTGTAATTTAGTTTTTATATATAAAAAAGGACATATATAGTAGATGTCCTAAAATTTTAAGAAAATAAGTGAAAGAATAAATATGACTATCAAAATAATAAATTCAAATTAGCCATGGAATTAAAAAAGTAAAAAAGAAAAAAGAAAAACATGTGAAAAGGATGAAACTAGCCCTGTATGGATTTTTTTTCACTTTCGTTATAGAAAAATCGTATATATGAATCATTTGTATAATAATAAAGTATATATGAGCCACTCTCAGAACGAGTGTATATCAGCTCTAACACAATGTTGAGGAGTATATTAGATCATTTTTTTTAAAAAGAAAAAAAAACCAGTAAACTTAATCTATCCAAGTACAGAACTGCAAACAATAGTATATATACTTCTCGATTTTTGTGTCATTCTTGCGTAAAGATCGTGCTAATATTTTATGTATCGTTTTAATTTTATCGAATGTCCCTGATGAAAAAAAATTATTGAAGTTACAAATGAGGGCTTTTAGCCAACGGATCCATGTAAAGTGTTTTTCATAAGCTCAAATTTGTTTTCAAAAATATTTTTAAAATCCTGGTCTGGTGCAATTGTTACTCCAATATTCACAAAAAAATAAAATTATACTGGCTATAAAATTTTAAAAAAATATTTTTTTGAAAAAATACTTCTAATAGAAGTAAATTTCAAAACAATATAATATTATAGACACTTTTAGTTAGCCCAGCTAGCAAGTATGCACTCTGGCTTTGATGTTGTACATTTACATACGTCAACTTGATCTTTAGTAATAATTAAAAACTCTAACTTGTTTCCGTCGTGTCTCATTAACATCCAATACAATGTGATATATAAATTTTAAAAATATTTAAATGATCATATTGTAAGTTAAAGTGTTCAGGTAACACAATAAAAATGAATTGAAATGTCTAAATGTGAACACTTCAAAAAAATAAAGCCCTTCTTGCCAATTGAGATCAAACTCAAACATCCATAGATGTATGACATTAAAGAAAAATACAAATATAGTGAGTTTGGCCAAAATAAATTGATTTGAGAAAGTGAAATGCTTGTGTAAACTACCACTAAGAAAACAAGTAGTACCTTTTTGTGTTTTCAAGGAGTTCAACATGCCTACATTTAGGGAGGAAAAAAGAAAGAAAGAGTGGTGACAACAATTCAAGTTTGTGGGGAAACAAGTGTTTCTTGTCTCCACAAGATGACAATTGATGTGGCATGTATGATTGAAACACACTCATCAACCACATCAACCAAATCCTCATATTTAATCTGACGTACTGAAATGAATAAAATCTCTTTATTATTTTTTTTGTTTTTATTTATTTATCTATATTTTTTTATATTTGTTCTTATTTACTTCTTCATTTTAATAAATTAAGATAGGACAATAATTTTTTTTCTAATATGCCTTTATTTAATTCTAAAAAATTTCTAGTACTACTAAATTGTAGTGCATGTTTTTTCGAACCAGAAAATACATTTATTATACTTGGAGAGTTGCATAATCTTTAAGTTAAAGGTAAAATTGTAACTAATCATTATTATAATTGATGCATTAATATGTGGTCACTTCTACAGTAGATAACTAAATAGGGACAGAGGGAATACTAATTATAATTTTTTTTAAAATTTAAATTCTAAACATAAATTGAAATCTATGAACGAAAATTATATAATACGAATTTGAATTGTTCAAGAAAGTTATTTAGATATCGAATGATTAAATGAATAAATTTCCTTAGTTTACTTCAATTTCTACTCTTAAAATACCAAGAAACATTTCTAGGGAGGATAAGGGAAGTTGACTTCTTATTTAATTGAAGAATATTAATTTTCATTTGGTCAAAGTAAGAAACTTAATTTCATTTTATTGCTTTGAACACAAGTGTGTGTATATATATATTTATTTAAAATTGAAAATTAGATTTTGGTTTTAATAAGTTTTTGTGTTTTTGTAGTGGCACGCCTAGGTACTTTTTAATAGGCTCCAAAAATTATGAAAAAGATGCAAAAAAAGGTGTGGTGGGGATATTAATTTTGGCTTTTGAGAATTCCAAAAATCATCAAATATAAAGGTACAAGTAGTATAACATGAAAAAAATAAAATAAAAATGGAGGCTATAAATGAAGTATAAACTCAAAACATATTTCTCAGTTATAGATAAAAATTGTGATATCTAATTTTTAAGTATATTAATAAATTGGTATGTTAGTGTATTAAACTTTCATATATATAATTCCAGAATAATCAAACATAGAACCTATTTTTTCCAACATAAATGGATAAAAAAATTTACATAATTTCATCATTAAATTTCAAATATATTGTTTAGCCATGTATCATAATAATCAAATTGTAATTTATCAATATATATACATACTTATATATAGTTATCGCGTTTTACTTTTCGAGAACGAAAATACATGAGTCTTTTGCATCATAATTATATGATAAAATTAAAATTTTCGTATAATTTTCAAAATGAACTTTATAATATTAAATTAATATAATGTAATTTAGATCCAAAAATCAAATAAACTAAACTTTCATATAATAAAAACGACGAGACAAAATAAATAAAAAGGGTTATTAAAAATCAAGTATATTGTTTAGCCATGTATCATAATGATCAAATTGTAATTTATCAATATATATACGTACTTATATATAGTTATCGCGTTTCACTTTTTCGAGAATGAAAATACATGAGTTTTCTGCATCATAATAATATGATAAAATTAGAATTTTTGTATAATTTTCAAAATGAACTTTATAATATTAAATTAATATAATGTAATTTAGATCCAAAAATCAAATAAACTAAACTTTCATAAAAATAAAACGCGATAAGTAAAAACGACGAGACAAAATTAAAAAAAAGGGTTATCAAAAATCAAGTATAGTGTCTCCTAATAGAGGTTCAAGGCAAGGCTCCTTTGGCGCCGGTGTCTACGCTTTGTTTGTTTAAATTAAAACTTATAAACTCAATGCTTGCTTGCTTGTAGTAAAAGCATTCGATTAATCTGCGATGAAATGATAAATATTTTTTTGAAAAAAAATTTAAATTTAAATTTTATTAATCATACGTCTTTATTAGAGAACAATCTATTGTTTAATGTGAGAATTTGTTGATGCGAATATAAATGTAATTTTGATATATGAATATCGAATATCAGATAGAAAAATCAAAGTATGTGACAACATGTTACGTGCAATTTTAGTGCATTTTTGTGCGTGTGCTTATATTGGAAAGAAGAATGAAATAAAATAGAAAATAATTTGTACCTTACACACAAATATTAATCTTCTTTTAGAAACTTCTTTTTGACTAGACAAATAGTCCTCTTTTTGCTGACATTCTGTACATGATTCATCACGCTAGCTACATGTCTTCTATAAATTATAAAAAGTTATCGTTATATTTTACGTGATATTATTTAACTTAATATTTACAATCTTTAAATAGTTTTGTGATTGCAAGTGAAGATTTTGAAGTTAATTTGTTTCTGATTATAGTAAGGTGAAATTTGTTTTGCGATAGACTAAAAAGGAAGGGATATCATATAGAACATAACGAAGGGAGTATTTATTAGTTATATAAGATTTGATGGCTTGAATAAGTAAGCCAAAATTTAGAAATATTATAGCATGTTAAAAATCCATCATTTGCTAGTAGAAATTAAGCTTCAAATGAGCCAATATTAACTATCTCACACTCTAATATAGAGATTAATCAAATGCAAACATGAACTACAAAAATAAAAAATGTTTTAGTTTTAGTAAAATAATAAAGAATTTGACATAAAGAGGGAGATTAATAAACAATTATGAATATTAATTTAAGGTGTAGCATGCGCAAAAGAGTGAGAGAAAAAAAAAGTCTCTTTTATGTATTTGTTGTGTGAATTTGTGTATTAGATGAGTAGAAAGTAAGCATGAAAAACCTTAAAGCAAGTTGCTTCCTAATTGACATCATTCCACTCACAATTTCTTCCCTTCCTATCCCAAAACAACCACTATAACTAACCATTACAATATCGGAGACAAAAATTTTATTAAGGGTATTTAAAAAAATAATGGTATGTGACAGTAAAAAAAAATAAAAAATATTGTGTTATTTAGGGTTTGAACCTAAAACTTCTTCATTCAAATGGACACTCATTATCGTTGTGCCAAAGACAGCTTTTATCAAGGGTGTCCAACTTTAAATATATATACATTTCAAATGTAGAATTTGACATATATATACAACGTAATTTTTCGACGAAGGGTGTCCAATTGGACACCCTGGGATGGTTGTGGCTACGCCAAAGCTATTCAATATGAAATTTGAACAAATAGACATACACACTTTATATGACATAATATATATATATATATATATATATATATATATATA